ATCCAACACCAGGCCACTGTCACAATCACAGAGTACAAACAGTTTTATACCAAAGCGTTTCCTCTTGCTCGGTATATACTGCTTGAATGACAGTCTACCTTTGAACAAAATCAAAGACTCGTCAATTACAAGATTCTTGAATGGATAAAAGTATATGCTGAACTTTTGTTTGAGATACATGAAAACATTTCTAATCTTGTATAACCTGTCACTTCTGTCAGGCCTGGTTTTGTCAGAGAAGTGCAACATACGTAAGAGTAAGATAAACCTGTTCACTGGTATGATTTCACTGAAGACCGGGGTAGAAATTAGCCGATCTGTGGACCAGTATGCTTTTATATTATGCTTATAGACGTGAGGCATAAGCATTATTGTTGCAAAAAGCAAATACATTTCTGCAACAGTCGTCTCTTTCCACCTGTGTAGTCTTGACTGTGGTGATAAGATCGTATTTGCCATGGTGTACTCAAAATACTTATTATTTCCCTGACAATAATTTCCATCAATGGCTGGTCAAAGAATAATTCAAAGAATTCCAGTTCATTGGCAGTGGTTCCAAGGGGACAAGTAGGTAGAATTCCACTTTGAGAGTCATCAAAGTGGTGAGGCTTGGGAACAAAATTGGAATTTTGCTGCCAATCCCACATACGGTTTGCTGGTGGATACTGGACATCATAGGCTGGTTGTGCGGGTGGTTGTGGTTGTGGTGGGCTGGTGGCTGGCGCTCCGCTTTGTCCTTGAACTGACGAGTCAGCAGCATGGGTCCCAGCGTGGCCTGGTGAGTCACGCATGGCGGTGCCACTACCATCACCACTAACACCATCCACTGATGCCTGTGGTCTATCCATGCCAAGTGTAGCCACATCATCCTCACTATCACTACCTAAAACTGGTGTTGGGCCACGGGATGTACTCCGGGATGTACTCCCGGATGTACTCCGTCCCCTGGGCACAGCATAGGGTACACTACCCGAGCGCATGCGGTGGCGAACATACAGACGCTTCACTGGTGAATATGATTCCTCACTATCACTACTCGAATGATCGTCGAGCGCAATAAAATCACAGTCCACGTCACTATCATCATCATTACTGAAGTCAGAGGCCTGGCCACGCGAAAATATTAGTTTTCTCTTGCGATGAGGAACAACCGACCATGAGTCACGAGTGCCCACACCAGAGGTAGAAGGTTGAGGATCGTCAGGGTTTTCTGCACTATTATCGATATCCTGGTCATTCTTTTCGGTCACTAACTGATCAAAGCCATAGAATTCGTCTTCATTTCCACTTCCATCAGTGTCAGAACTATCAGATAGGAAGAGGAGAGTCCCAATTTTTCAGGGAGTGAGAGCTGACTTGCGACGAGGCATGGTGAACAAGGGTAACTGAGCCGGCGTTCCCACAATGCTATGCGGGCGCCTAGATTTTTTGTTTATGGCGCACACCCACCACGCAGACCCGTTCTCTCACATGTAGGCCTATGAGCGTTTTCGCGCTAAATTTGACGGCGCTAGAATTTTGGCGTAGATCTACGGTTTGGACACTCAACATGAAGCCGTAGATCTATGGGACGGACCCTGAAAGGGTTAGATAGTGTGCCTGGCAATTTAAGTTATAGCACAGTCTTTCCTGTACTGAAGAGGTACACATTTCAGGGTGAAAAAGCTTACAGGAAGGGAGTTTGCATTTTCCTGTTGTCATATGGGCACGGCATTTTCTAGGATGGTCATAGTTGCACGTCCCATCTGTTTTTCCAGATTTCCCATGTCTGCAGATACCAAGTGCATAGTATGTGCATGATCCTGTCAGTTCCAGCTGCTTTATCCCCTTTCATTCTACGTAATGCCTCACGCACCTCCCTCACACTCACATCCTGCTCTTCTTCACTCCTAAAAGATGGTATACCTCCCTGACCAGTGCATGAAATTACCGCCTCCCTTTCTTCGTCGACATTTAAAAGTTCCTCAAAATATTCTCGCCATCTACCCAATACCTCCATTTCCCCATCTACTAACTCCCCTACTCTGTTTTTAACTGACAAATCCATTTGTTCCCTAGGCTTTCTTAACCCTTAAATGGTCCAAACGTATATATACATTTTTTCAACATCTGAAAGTATGTAAAAAAATGTAGATCTTCTTTTTTGTTTTACATTTGAAAATGTGTAAAAAAAACTTTTATCTACATTTTTTTTTTTGTTATATTTGAAAATATGTAAAAAAAAGTAGATCTACTTTTGTAGCACTACGAATTTGAACGTCACTCTCTTTGGACCATTTAAGGGTTAACTTGCTTAACTCACTCCAAAATTTTTTCTTATTTTCACTAAAATTTCTTGACAGTGCCTCTCCCACTCTATCATCAGCTCTCCTTTTGCACTCTCTCACCACTCTCTTCACCTTTCTTTTATTCTCCATATACTCTACTCTTCTTATAACACTTCTGCTTTGTAAATACCTCTCATAAGCTACCTTTACTCAAGAAAGCTACCTTTTTCTCTTTTATCACACCCTTTACTTCATCATTCCACCAATCACTCCTCTTTCCTCCTGCACCCACCCTCCTATAACCACAAACTTCTGCCCCACATTCTAATACTGCATTTTTAAAACTATTCCAACCCTCTTCAACCCCCCCCCCACTACTCATACCTACACCAGCCCACCTTTCTGCTAATAGTTGCTTATATTTCACCCAAACTTCCTCCTCCTCCCTTAGTTTATACACTTTCACCTCCCTCTTACTTGTTGCCATTTTCCTCTTATCCTATCTATCTCTTACTCTAACTGTAGCTACAACTAGATAATGATCCGATATATCAGTTGCCCCTCTATAAACATGTACATCCTGGAGCCTACCCATCAACCTTTTATCCACCAATACATAATCTAACAAACTACTTTCATTACGTGCTATATCATACCTTGTATATTTATTTATCCATTTTTTCATAAAATATGTATTACTTATTACCAAACCTCTTTCTACACATAGCTCAATTAAAGGCTCCCCATTTTCATTTACCCTGGCACCCCAAATTTACCTACTACTCCCTCCACAACATTTTTACCCACTTTAGCATTAAAATCCCCAACCACAAGTACTCTCACACTTGGTTCAAAACTCCCCACGCATTTACTCAACATTTCCCAAAATCTCTCTCTCTCCTCTATACTTCTCTCTTCCCCAGGTGCATATACACTTACTATAACCCACTTCTCACATCCAACCTTTATTTTACTCCACATAATCCTTGAATTAATACATTTATAGTCCCTCTTTTTCCTGCCATAGCTTATCCTTCAACATTATTCCTACTCCTTCTTTAGCTCTAACTATTAGAAACTCCTGACCTAATCCCATTTATTCCTCTCCACTGAAACTCACCCACCCCCTTCAGCTATGTTTCACTTAAAGCCAGGACATCCAGCTTCTTCTCATTCGTAACATCCACAATCATCTCTTTCTTATCATTCGCACAACATCCACGCACATTCAGACTTCCCACTTTGACAATTTTCTTCTTATTCTTTTTAGTAATTATTACAGGAAAAGGGGTTACTAGCCCACTGTTCCTGGCATTTTAGTTGACTTTTACAACACGCATGGCTTACGGGGGAAAGATTCTTATTCCACTTCCCCATGGATATAAAAGGAAAAGTAATAAGAACAAGAACTAAGATAAAATCAAAGAAAACTCAGATGAGTGTGTATGAATAAACGTGTACATGTATGTTTAGTGTGACCTAAGTGTAAGTAGAAGTAGCAAGATGTACCTGTAAACTTGCATATTTATGAGACAGACAAAAGACATCAGCAATCCTACCATCATGTAAAACAATTACAGGCTTTCGTTTTACACTCACTGGGCAGGACAGTAGTACCTCCCTGGGTGGTTGCTGTCTACCAACCTACTACCTACACATGTAAACGACAAAAATAATAGCCAAATAATACCAAACAGCAATGAACATATAGGCATTCACCACATATACCATATCAAACAAACATGTACTTAAAATTAATGCATTTGAGAAAGTACAAGCAAGAAAAATGTAGTATAGCCTTATATGTAATATGACAGAGTGGGTGGTGGAAGGTACTGCTTTTTAATGGGCTACAACAGCTTGAGCTGTATGAGCCCTGTCCCAATGACAATATTTTGTGATGTAAATGGTTTAGAAAACTGACAAGTTGAAGAATGAGACACTTGTGCAACATCTGGGAAACTTTACTTATGTAACATTTTGCCAGCCAGTGACTTCTTCAGTCCAATAAAAAGAAGAACAGCCTGGAGTCAATGTTTTCAGTCCATCAATCTTGACAAGTGTCTCATTCAATGTGACATTTTGTATCTGGGAGATGTGGAGAGGTGCATACTATATATGGGTCAATATGGCTAAGTATGTCATTAGCTGTGGTGGCTCCACAAACCAAATATACAGACAGAAGAATGACAGTCATACCTCTGCCTCAGTGAAGTCCACTAAGCAATATTATTGTTCAATAACTTTCACATCTTACTATCACCTCCAATGTGTTTAACATAAAAATACCTAAATTAAAATGGTTATAACTGACCATAATTTTTAAAGAGGTGGACCAGTAAGCCAGCGGAAGGCCTCGGCCAGATGACCAAAGCTCCAAAAGCGGGTCATCATCTGACTAAGACCCGCATCAGGAAACACTTGTCCTGTTTCCTGACAAACCTTACCTAACCTAACCTGTGTTTAACACTGCAGTGCAATTATTATAATGTAAAATTCTGGCTTAAAAACCTGCTGGATTAATAATCAAATAAAGATGTCATTATAAACCATACCACGGGCGGGGATAGAACCCACGATTAGAGTCATAAAACTCCAGGCCCACATGCTAGCCACTGGTATGACATGGTTTGTTTGCAATATTGTCATTACGATTTTGTGAGTCATGATGTTATTGTCTAGTGAACTTTTGAGTATTCTTGATATTACTGGGCTGATTATTCTCTTCAAACTTTGGACACAAGTGATTTATATAAACTAGATATTCGTGAGCTATACTGATTTTTGAAAAGGTTCATTAGGTAAGAAATGTGCTGTCTAGTGATTTTCTATTGCTCGATGGGAGGCTCTAAGGACTGTGGAGGGTACCACTTGTGGCCCAGGTTTTGCATGTTACATTTATTCTTATATTTATGGTGTGTAATAGTAAGAGCTTCCTAATGTTATGAAAAGAATAGTGCAATTTTACAAATGGCATTAAGTCAAAGGCATACTGTGTAAGGTCAGATTATGATAAGTTTATTGTACTGTCTCACATTGCCTCCCTGAAAGGAACTTGCCATAGCCGGCTGAACCTCCTTAAAACCCTCGCTCATCTTTCATGGGGGGCAGATCGTCAAACCCTCCTTTGGCTGCATTCAGCCCTAATTTTATCGAAGCTAGATTATGATGACCACATACATTCTGCGACCTCTACTGCAACTCTTTCTAAACTCCAAGAGATACTCAAGAGTACCCTTGTGTTTACTGCAGATCAGAACAATCAGTCAAAACTGTGCTATATACAGCAAGCTGGGTGTGTGCTTATTCATGTCTTCAGAACCTACACTGTCATTTAACATTAATAAATATTAGCTATTCTTGACAAATTAATTATTATACCTATCATTTATGGAAGAAATTGACAGATACAGGCTCTAAGGGACAATACTGGGGACAAAACAAATTTAGAGATATCACCTTTACAGAAAATATGGCTCATCCCAAATTAATTTAGGCTAATAGCTTCCACCACAAGCCTTCCCTTTCCTTCCAAGGATGAACCCTGTAAGATTTTTAATCACACATACTGAAGAGTCTGCATGAATTACAGTACTGTACTACAAAACTTACTTCCAATTATGTTGCAAGTGGAAAGGTTAATCTGCCTGCTCTGAGCAATCTTAAGTGCTATCTGTGGTTAACGCTGGGGTCCCTTCTATTAATTAACTCCTTCATTTCATCTGTAGTCCTATTGACGGAATCCTTACAAACATGCTGAAAATAAGATATTGTGTAATTAGTTCACTGTTTCTTATTCTATATTGATATTCCTATACCATAATTTTTAAACTAATACATTTTGGCAATTTTTTGTTTTATTTAATAAAAAAATAATCATTCTGAATACTATAGGTTTTTTATCCTATCTTTATTTTGGGACTTAGCTACATCCTCATGAAAATCTTTAACTTAGCAGGAAGTTTTTTTGATAAGACACTTATCAACAGTAAATGCATAGTGGTCGCTGCAAACTAGAATGAGGACTTTGCTACTATGGTCAGTATTTTCAACCATTACACTTGAAAATTTTTTTATACAGATGTTACTTTTCATACATGTCACTGAAAGATTAACCTTGTCAAAATTGTTAGAAATTAAAATTCAAGTACATATATACAACCAAGGCTGCTAGAATTTCCATTTTGGAATACTGCCTATATAAATCAATCCCAGAAGACTCTAAAAAGGCTCCAATATGCAATTCTCTGAAAGAAATATGCACAGGGCAGATGTACAGTGGACCCCCGCATAACGATCACCTCCAAATGCGACCAATTATGTAAGTGTATTTATGTAAGTGCGTTTGTACGTGTATGTTTGGGGGTCTGAAATGGACTAATCTACTTCACAATATTCCTTATGGGAAAAAATTCGGTCAGTACTGGCACCTGAACATACTACTGGAATGAAAAAAGTTCGTTAACCGGGGGTCCACTGTATATGCTTACATAAGAAATGGTTTAGCCTATAATATTACCCATTTCAATAATCATCTTACTAAAGGTGTCGAGGTTAACTCCCAGACAGTGGGCTTCGGACCCACAGTAAACTATTTCTAAAACCTGCAGGCCAGTGTGCTATCTACTGTACCATGTCATCCTAACTAGACCTGACCAACTGGGTAGGGAAGAAAAAGTTAACATTTAAGAGGTTTTTACAATTCAGAAGTGATATACAGGAGGAAAAGTATATGGAGAGAAAAAAGAGGTTGAAGAGTGCAAAGGGAGTGTCAAAGAGAGCCAATGAGATTGTGAGTGAGGCTTTAACAACAAATTTTGCTGAGAATAAGAAGTTTTCAAAAGAGATTAATAAGCTAAAAATGATTAGAAAAATAAACTGATTTAGCACAATTAAAAACAAAAGTTTGGAAAGGTATGTAAAAGAAGGAAATTAAAAGTAAACATAGGAAAGAGCAAGGTGATGAGGATAACAAAAAAAAATTAGGTAATGAAAGATTGGATATCAGATAGGACAGAGTATGGAGGAAGTGAATGTATTCAGATATTTGGGAGTGGACTTGTCAGAAGATGGGTCTATGAAAGATGAGGTGAATCACAGAATTGATGAGAGGGGAAAAAAAGACGAGTAGTGCACTGAGGAGTCTGTGGAGACGAAGAACGTCATTCAAGGAAGCAAAGAGGGAAATGTATGAGAGTATAGTGGTACCAACACTCTTATGTGGCTGTGATGCATGGGTGATGACATGAAAAAAAAAAGAGATGGCTGGAAGCAGTTTAGCTGTCGTGTCTGAGGGCAATGTGTAGTGTGAATATAATGCAGAGAATCCATAGCTTAGCGATTAGGAGGAGCTGTGGGGATTTTAAAAGTACATGCAGTATTATCCAGAGGGCAGAGGAGAGGTTGTTGAGGTGGTCTAGACAATTAGGGGTTGGAACAAAGTAGAATGACTTGGAGGGCATATAAATCTCAAGTGGAAGGAAGGTGAGGTAAGGGTCATCCTAGAAAGGCTGGAGGGAGGGGTAAAGGAGGTTTAGACTACCAGCAAGCATGTGTGAGCATGTTAGACAGGAGCAAATGGAGGCAAATGGATTTTATAATGTGACGTTCTGTTGGAGTGTTAGCAAAGTAACATTTATGAAGGGAATCAGGGAAACCGGTTAGCCAGACTTGAGTCCTGGAGTTAGGAAGCACAGTGCCTGCACTCTGAAGGAGGGGTGTTGATATATTACAGTGTACCCGCAGTGATATGTTGTAGGTGTACCTCTATCAAGACAGTGATGGAATGAAGGGTGATGAAAGAGTTTCTTGTTTTTCAGGGTCACCCTGCCTTGGTGGAAAATGGGCAATGTGTTAAAAAAAAGCAAAAAAAAAGGGGAAGATGTAAGATGGGGAGGTGGAAGTACAGTGGACCCCCGGTTAACGATATTATTTCATTCCAGAAGTATGTTCAGGTGCCAGTACTGACCGAATTTGTTCCCATAAGGAATATTGTGAAGTAGAATAGTCCATTTCAGACCCCTAAACATACACGTACAAACGCACTTACATAAATACACTTACATAATTGGTCGCATTGGGAGGTGATCGTTAAGCGGGGGTCCACTGTACTGGGAAGACTGAGGGGATACCTTGAAGAGCAGCAGTTTCCTATAAGTAAGTAAGTTTATTCAGGTATACACAAATACAGTTACATAGAATTATCATACATAGCAGCATATGTGTAGAGAACCTAGGATAACCCAAAAAAGTCAGACAGAGTGACTTATTTCCATTGGGGTCCTTTGTTTGGCAGGTGGGTATAACATCTTACAGAGTAACAAGAGAGCCAGATGTGAGTGTGGGGAAAGTGCTGGGATAGATGGGATTAAGATAACGATACAGGCAGGTGAGAATATAGTGTTGAAGTGGTTGGTGTATTTGTTCAGTATATGCATAAAAGAGGAGAAGGTACCGAAGGATTGGTAAAGAGCATGCATAGTTCCTCTGCATAAGAAAAAAAGGTGACAAGAGTGAATGTAAGAAGTATAGGGGAATAAGCCTGTTAGGTATACTGGGTAATTTTTTTTTTTTTAACACACCGGCCATTTCCCTCTGAGGCAGGGTGGCCAAAAAAAAAAAAGAAGAAATGCTTTCACCATCACTCACTCCATCACTGTCTTGTGAGAGGGACACCAATGGTAAAATTATTATTGAAAGAATTAAGGTTAAGACAGTAGGACTGCAAAGGAACAAGCAGGATTTAGGAAGGGTAGGTAATATGTAGAACAAATGTTTACAGTGAAGCATATAAGTGAATGGAATGTAGATAAAGGCAAGAAGCTTTTTTTGGTGCATTTTTGGAGTTAGAAAAGGCATATGACAGGGTGGATAGAAGAGCATCGTGGCAAAGACTGGAAATGCATGGAGGAGGTAATAGCTTACATCTAAGGTTTTTTAGTAACTGGTATACACTTCATATAGTGAAGTACAGTAAACCTTGATTTAATGGACCCCAATTTCACAATTTCAAATTTAATGTACAAAATCTGTGGCTGGGCAATGTCTGGAAGCAATGGACAAAGTCCTTTAAATCCAGAATTGTCTGTTATTCTTAAAGTCCACCAGATACATATATTCATTTTGGATTGAACAAAGTTTGCTACATCAGTATACATTTCTTTTATAGACAATTCTGGATGTAATGAACTTTCCATCATTGCTGTGATCTGCAGGGTACATTTATTTTTGGACTGAATACCAATTAAAATACAATAATAATAATATATCTCTATTTCTACAAGTACATGTACAAAGTATACAAGCCTAGCTGACATCAATGACATACTACTACACAGAAAGCCGCTTGTTATGCAGAGTATTTCGGGCAAATTAGGTTAGTTTTGTCCCAGGATGCGACGCACACCAGTCAACTAACACCCAGGTATCCATTTTATACTGATGGGTGAACATGGACAGCAGGTATCTTATGGAAACATGTCCTAATGTTTACCAGCCGTACCAGAGATTTCAACTCTGGACCTCAGTGTGTGAGCTGAGTGCGCTAGCGATCAAGCTACGGGGCATCTAAATTGACTTTAATGGATTCCCCCCCTTCCCCCTATTAGTCAGTTAAATTGACTACCTTTGTGATTACCTATTAGTAGCTAAAAAAGGAAGCAAAGCTTGTGGAACAAAGTTCAGTATTTAAATTAATCAAACTTTTTTAAAGCTGCCACTGGTTGTACAACCATTTTGATGTGAAACAAAACTTTCTAATGTCTTTTCGACAACTTGCTTATCTAGTTTAGCGTTTGGCCGACAAGTTGATAAATTAGACGCATGTGCAACACTTGGGTACCTTTAATGAGGAAACGTTTCACCACACAGTGGCTTCATCAGTCTATACAAAGGAGAATCGTGAAGAACAGGAGGAGTATGACGTAATCAGTCCCTCAGCCTTGAGTCGATGTAATTAGTCCATCAATCTTGAAAAGGATACAGTATATGCATGTATAAATAAAAAATTACTTGTATATAGCAAATATACTCTCAGAATATAGGCTAGATCATTCCTTATGAAAGTACACACACGCACACCATTGCCTTGTATGTTAATATGCTAAAATTATAATTTGTAAAAGTTTTTGGAATGTTTAATTTGGCAATGGTAAAGAGCCCTAGAGAAAGCAATCATTTCCTTTTTATCATGAGGATCCCATCAGGAAGGAAATCATGAAGAATTAAAAAGTATTTAAACCTATAAAATCATTCAGCGCTTTCGACAACAGTCATACCAGTTAGTTTAATATCTTCATTATGTATCCCATACCCATTCTACGGGTGGTAGTCAAAAGATTACTTTAGCACACAATGGGTCCAGGGACCGGGTCACAAAATTTTCATAACTGAACAAGCTACAGTGGTAATGAACTATACGTTTATATCTGGTCACAATCGTAATGAGTTATTTATGCAGACATGAATTAGGTCAAAGGTGGCCCGGTGGTCTGGTGGCTAAAGCTCCCGCTTCACACTCGGAGGGCCCGGGTTCGATTCCCGGCGGGTGGAAACATTTCGACACGTTTCCTTACACCTGTTGTCCTGTTCACCTAGCAGCAAATAGGTACCTGGGTGTTAGTCGACTGGTGTGGGTCGCATCCTGGGGGACAAGATTAAGGACCCCAATGGAAATAAGTTAGACAGTCCTCGACGACACACTGACTGTCTTGGGTTATCCTGGGTGGCTAACCCTCAGGGGTTAAAAATCCGAACGAAATCTTATCTTATCTTATCTTACCAACACTCACAGGTTAAAACTATAATACAAAAATAACAATTCAAAATAACTCAAAAAAGTAAATGCTAACACACTAAGTTAAAAATAACCCAGTGTACCATTTGGGTTATTGTAAAAAAAAACCTCCAAGTATCTTAGTTACTGCAAGGTAAACTACACCACCAGGTGTTAGACTGAGCCATAAGTCTCACCCATTAAGTACATCTATTTAGGTATACGTATACATAGGCACAATTATCATACATAGTAACGTGTGAAAATTACCCACCACAATAACCCCCATTATTATTATAATCAAAAAAGAAGCGCTAAGCCACAAGGACTATACAGCACAATAACCCCCAAAAAATCAAAGTGACTTATTTCCACTGGATTCCTAGAAGAATTTTACCAAAATCCTTCATGTACCACCAAGCACAATACACTGAGTTACAGCCAACCACTGAAAATGCATCCTACTGCCATTTTTGGGCTATTTTAGATTAAATCTACATAATTTACTACCAGTGACAGCTTAATAACATCTCACCTGATGGTCTTGTTAGGGGTCTTAAGGGGCACCAAGTTCCACCGTCTAATGACATTTTCATTTTTCCACTAAAATCTAACCTTGTCCATAATTAATATCACATTTGCTTTGTTTTATTAAGTGAAGTCTAAAATCTTTCCTTAATTCATGGTATAACTTAAATATTTGATGACAATTGTGTTGTAGAGGTGTGAGCAAAGTTCACACATCTACAACACAACTGTCATTAAATATTTAATTATACCATGATAGTAATTATGGACAAGGTAGATTATAGTGGGAAAATGAACTTGTTAATGGAAGACTAAAATTGCTGAAGTCATATAACAATGGTTATAAATGACAATAATTTTTAAAGGGGTGGACCGGTAAGCCAGTGGAAGGCCTCGGTCAGATGACCAAAAGCTCCAAAGGCGGGTCATCATCTGACTAAGACCCGCGTCAGGAAACATTTGTCCTGTTTCCTGACGAACCCTACCTAACCTAACTAATGGAAGACTGGGGTACTTAGGTGCCTCTTAATGGTCACTGACTGGTTCAGTCTCCTGCTGCTGTACTGGCAAGAAGTGAGTTTATTTAGGTACAGGTACACATAATTAGTTACATAAATAATCATACACTGCAATATGTGTAAATTACTTAGGATAACTAAAAAAAAGTCAGATAAAGTGACTTATTTCCATTGGAGTGATAAAGGAACAGTGAAGAGGATTTTTTTATTTTAATCACAGGGAAGCGCTAAACCCATAGGGTTATACAGCGCATGTGGCGGGGATGGAAGGTATTCAGGATCAATTCAGGGAACTGGAGCACAGATCCAATTCCCTAGATCAAGAGCCTCTCACCAGCATCAAGGAACCTCCCTTGAGGGGACAGTGAAGAGGAATCTCCTAGTGGAAATAAGTCACTTTATATGATTTTTCGGGTTATCCTGGGCAATTCTTCAAGAAATGTCAAAGTATTTTATCCAGTAATAAATAACAAAAAGGCACAATACCGTGACTGGAACGATACACAAATAACCCGCACATAAAAGACAGAAGCTTACGACGACGTTTCGGTGCGACTTGGACCATTGACAAAGTCACACTAACAGAGGTGGAGCAGGACGGCTATATTTTATCCAGCTTACACCTGCTGTGGCTGTTCACCTAGGGGTGGGTAGACTGCATTTTCTTGGACTGCAAGAAGGCCCTCGACACAGTTCCTCACAAGAGATTAATCCAAAAGCTTGAGGATCAGGCAGAAATAACAGGAAAGGCACTGCAATGGATCAAAGAATACCTGAGAGGAAGGAAACAAGGAGTAATGGTACATGACGAGGTGTCAGAGTGGGCGCCTGTGACGAGCGGGGTTCCCCAATGGTCAGTCCTAGGACCTGTGCTGTTTCTGGTATATGTGAATGACATGATGGAAAGGATAGACTCATAGGTGTCCCTGTTTGCAGACAATGTGAAGGTAATGCGAAGATTGCAAGTGGATGAGGATCAGGTGGGACTACAAAGGAATCTGGACAGTCTGCAGGCCTGGTTTACCTGGAGTTTACCTGGAGAGAGTTCCGGGGGTCAATGCCCCCGCGGCCCGGTCTGTGACCAGGCCTCCTGGTGGATCAGAGCCTGATCAACCAGGCTGTTGCTGCTGGCTGCACGCAAACCAACGTACGAGCCACAGCCCGGCTGATCAGGAACTGACTTTAGGTGCTTGTCCAGTGCCAGCTTGAAGACTGCCAGGGGTCTGTTGGTAATCCCCCTTATGTGTGCTGGGAGGCAGTTGAACAGTCTCGGGCCCCTGACACTTATTGTATGGTCTCTTAACGTGCTAGTGACACCCCTGCTTTTCATTGGGGGGATGTTGCATCGTCTGCCAAGTCTTTTGCTTTCGTAGTGAGTGATTTTCGTGTGCAAGTTCGGTACTAGTCCCTCTAGGATTTTCCAGGTCCAACAATTGGCTCCTGGAGTTTAACCCCACCAAGTGTAAAATCATGACGACTGGAGAAGGTGAGAGAAGACTGCAGACAGAGTACAGGCTACGGGGAGGGGAGCAAAGACTGCGAACCTCACTCAAGGAAAGGGATCTTGGAGTGAGTATAATGCTGAGCACATCTGAGACATATCAACCAAATAACTGCTGCAGCATATAGGCGCCTGGCAAACCTAAGAATAACATTTAGACACCTGGGTAAGGACTCATTTAAGACTCTGTACACCGTGTATGTCAGGTCCATATTGGAGTATACAGCACCAGTATGGAACCCACACCTGGTCAAACACGTCAAGAAATTAAAGAAGGTGCAAAAGTTTGCAACAAGACTAATCCCGGAGCTAAGAGGTATGTCATACGAGGAGAGGTTAAAGGAAATCAACCTGATGGCGCTGGAGGACAGGAGACATAGGTGACACATGAGAGACATAAAATACTATGAGGAATTGACAGGGTGGGTAAGGACAGGATGTGCCAGAGATGTGACAGTAACAACGGGTCACAACAGGAAGTTGAGAACTCAGATGAGTCACAGGGATGCTAGGAAGAATTTCTTCAGCCATAGAGTTGTCAGGAAGTGGAATAATCTGGAGAGTGATGTAGTGGAGGCAGGATTCATATATAGCTTTAAGAAGAGGTACGACTTGGAGCAGGGAGAGTGAAGATAAGGACCTAGTAGTGTCCAGAGTAGGGGCAGAGCCAGGAGCTGTGAACCGACCCCTGCAACCACAAATAGGTGAGTACACACAAATGGGGCCAGGAGCTGTCACTTGACCCCTGCAACTAAATATAGATGAGTATAAGCAAGTACATGGTCACAGTAACACTCAAATACAATATTAATCACATAAAGTATTAAACATATAGTGTTAAATATATAAAATGTTGAACATATAACATTAATCACATATAGTACTAAACATATACAATGTTAAACACATATACAATCTAACTGTTTTTGGATTATCCTAGGGAATCTACACATACATTATGTGTGACAATATATGTAACTATTTACATGTACCTATATCTGAAGAAACTTAAACATTTACAGTATTAAACATATATAATATATATAAGAAGGTGTGCACCGGGGGTGTAGCTCAGTGGTAGAGCATTCGACTGCAGATCGAGAGGTCCCCGGTTCAAACCCGGGCGCCCCCTCTTTTTATTTTTTTGTGGGGGGCCGTGGAGGTAGGGGGAAGATAGAAGGGTGGATATAGCTTAATTTCAAGTTTGCATGATAATAAAATTATCGAATGGTTATATATCTAGGTGTGGTTATATTCTTAAGGAATACTGCTGGTGGAATATCAGTATAGACTGTAAAGTTTGTCCAATGGGTATTATAATTGGCAATTTCGCTAATGAAGAAAATAAAATACTATTATGTATGTTATATTTACGGAGTCCAAAGTGATGAAAACTGTAGGGTAGTGTAGGTTAGTCCTTGGATAAGAGCTTTAGTCAGGATGGTGTAGTTATATGCAGAAGTGTGTGGTAGTATTGTATAGTAATATAATATTGGTAAAGTATAGTTATGTAAAGTGTAAGTCAATATGTTAGTAGATGTAAGAGGAGTCAGAAAGTGATGTAATAGTAGTGTAGTAGTAGTGTGTGGTAGTAGTAGTAGTAGTGGTAGTAGTAGTAGTAGTAGTAGTAGTAGTAGTAGTAGTAGTAGTAGTAGTAGTAGTAGTAGTAGTAGTAGTAGTAGTAGTAGTAGTAGTAGTAGTAGTGGTGGTGGAAATAGTAGTAGTGGTAGTGGTAGTAGTGGAAAATTAAGGAGGAGGAGCCAGTCAATGTTACAAAGAAAGGGGAGCACTGCAAGGGAGCTAGGTGCCCACAAGGGAGCTAGGTGCCCACAAGGGAGCTAGGTGCCCACAGAGAGAGGTGAAGGAGCAAGGGTGCACAGGGTGAGGGAAAGGGAGTAGTGTGAATAATAATGAAGAAAGAACAGTGACAGAGATGGGGGGAAGGGGAATAGGAGAAGAAGAAAAATGAGGAATCAGGTTAAGTCACGGGTGTTCTGAAGTTTGGAGCATTTTACAATGTAGTGGGAGAGGAAGGCATCTACAGAGACGAAGCCAGGACTAAGATTCTCCTCAGCCCGGCGAGGAGAGAGAAAATATTAGTGTACCTTGCAAAAGAACTTAGGTAATTCAGTTTTCTTTGAGCAAGAGGGTTTGTTTTGATCTGGAACGTTCAATGTTTTCTTTATATTATTGCCTTGTTAAACCATACATCCTTCCTTGTTGATTATGTAGTCTTTATTTTTATCTTAAATGAAGCCAGGCAGACGACATGATTTTTTTTTAATTCATCACAGAATGGTATTATTCCACTATAAATTTCCCCAGCGAAGTCTGGCAACCATGGCACTTGTAAACATGACCGTTATGTAAGATTTTAGCGCATTGGTATGTATATTTACGTAATTTAAAGGCATTACTACGGTGAATTGTGTAGCTTGCTAAATCTGGGTATAGTAAGCACAGTATAATAGCAAGACCTATAGTAAATGGGAAAATAATTAAAATGAGTGTTTTGGCAATTACCCCGGCTCATTCTCCTTTCAACGTAGCAACTCATCCCGAGGCCTAGGACGCTGGCTTCACTTACCAGCCTTCCTGTCTAGTACTCCAGACACCGCTGGCTTCACTTGCCAGCCTTCCTGTCTAGTACTCCAGACACCGCTGGCTTCACTTGCCAGCCTTCCTGTCTAGTATCCAGACACTGCTGGCTTCACTTGCCAGCCTTCCTGTCTAGTACTTCAGACACCGCTGGCTTCACTTGCCAGCCTTCCTGTCTAGTACTCCAGACACCGCTGGCTTCACTTGCCAGCCTTCCTGTCTAGTACTCCAGACACCGCTGGCTTCACTTGCCAGCCTTCCTGTCTAGTATTCCAGACACTGCTGGCTTCACTTGCCAGCCTTCCTGTCTAGTATTCCAGACACTGCTGGCTTCACTTGCCAGCCTTCCTGTCTAGTATTCCAGGACACTGCTGGCTTCACTTATATATATTTATATATATATATATATATATATTTTATATTATATATATTTATTATATATATATATATATATATTTATATTATTTATATATTAGAAAACGTTTCGGTCCTGGGACCGATTACGTTTTCTAATAAATATGTATAGTGTTTGCTTTACGTGTCTTTCTAAACCTATATATTAATATTTATATATTTTATATATATATATATATATATATATATTTATATATATTATATAGATATATTTATATATATATATATATCATGATTATATAATAATCATGATTACATATAGTAATCACTAGTATATACACGTGGAAAGTAAGTTTTATTCGGGTTAAAGACTCACATACATAGGCTGATCACATTAACATGGCTCTGCTCCTGTATATACTACTTGGTAATCACGAACTCACTCACGCACACTAAAAATCTGTATGTGGACTGTCAAGGGTGAAAGAACCCCAGGTATTATGATCCTACTCTACCTACCTGGAGTCTACCTGGAGGGTATTCCGGGGATGAACGCCCCCGCGGCCCGGTCCATGACCAAGCCTCCTGGTGGATCAGGGCCTGATCAACGAGGCTGTTACTGTTGGCCGCACTTAGTCCAACGTACGAACCATAGCCCGGCTGATCCGGCACCGACTTTAGGTATCTGTCCAGCTCCCTCTTGAAGAAAACAGGGTTATTGGTAATTCCCCTTAATTGGAGGAGGCTGTTTGAACAGTTTGGGCACCGGAACTTAGTGTGACTATCGCCCTATTTATTACTGGGGTATGTTGCATCGCCTTGCTATGCTTTTGCATTTCGTATGGAGTGACTTCATGTGTGCAGATTAGCGACCAGTCCCAGGATCTTTCATGGTATTAGATGTATCTCTCTCGCTGGCGCCAGTGGTACAAGTCAAGTGCTTCTAAGCGTTCCCAGTAGTTAAGATGTTTGATGGAATTAGGTGCAGTACAGGTTCTCTGTTACATTCTCTAGATCTGCAATTTCACTGCCTTGAATGGTGTTTGTTAACTGCTCATTACTCTGTAATTTTATGATTGTAATCATTGTGATAACGTGTGTATCATTCATTACCTTTGGAAACTTGTCATGATTTTGACCAGCTCTCTGGGCTCATTACCTTTGTAAATTCATCATTAATGTGTTTATGATTCCTTACCTTTGCAAGGTTATTGGTGTGACCAGCTCTACTGGAGCTCATTCCTTTGTAACTTGTTCATGATTATGCCCAGATCTAGTTCATTACCTTTGTTACTTGCTCAGCTATCAAAACTTTCGGGCCAGTCCAGGACAATTATGTACTCTGTAATCTTTTGATATCGCCCACAGGATGGGTATGGGGTGCAGTAATAAACATATTAAACTAACTTGAATGGAGATGTTAATGTACAGCAGTATTCCAGCCTAGAGAGAACTAGTGATTTAAAAAGGATAATCATTGGCTTGGTATCTCTTGTCTTGAATGTTCTCATTATCCATCCTATCAGTTTTCTAGCAGATGTGATAGTCTTGCTGGTTGTAGGTTAAAAGATGGGGAAGGAACTCAACCCCACGAGTACAACTAAATGAGTACATACTGATGAGAGCAACTAGGTGAGTACATACTGATGAGTACAACTATGTGAGTACATACTGATGAGAACAACTAGGTGAGCACATACTGATGAGTACAACTATGTGAGTACATACTGATGAGAGCAAGTAGATGAGTACATACTGATGAGTACAACTATGTGAGTACATACTGATGAGTACAACTATGAGAGTACATACTGATGAGTACAACTAGGTAAGTACATACTGATGAGTATAACTAGGTGAATACATACTGATGAGCCCAACTAGATGAGTACAACTATGTGAGTACATACTGGTGAGTGCAACTAGGTGAGCACATACTGACGAGTACAACTAGGTGAGTATACATGGGTACAACTAATAAGTATACACTGGTGACTCCAATTAGGTTAGTCCACACTGGATGAGTACAAATAAGTACACACATAAGAGCACACGAGTACAACCAGTTGAATACACACACACACAGGAGCTTGGACTCGACCCCTGCAACCTCAACTAGATGAGTACACACACACATATTGGTTATTTATTGTATATTTTAATATGTAAAGCGTTTAAATAAGCTTCATCCTACGCTTTGTGTAATCCCAGAGATAAATGTTAGTTCCAGCCTTTGTATTGTGCTCATGTATTGTTCCTTAGGGAAAATACACATTCAATTTAATAATTAAATTATTTGTTCTTTAGTAATGTATTTGTCATATAAGATTATTTTTATCGTAGCCCTCAGTCAGAGGACACATAACTATTGGAGAAAGTATGCATTTATAATAAGAAAAAAATGAGAGTATTGATGTAAATGGGGACGAATGTAAACATGTCGAGGTCGATTCCTAGAGAAGGGATTCGGACGAGTCCATGTAGGTTATCAACCCACTGGGAGTAGGGGGGGGGGGGGGAATCATGGATTGCCAAAAGTCGAAGGATAAAAAAAATGCGGCCTATATATATACGCATGTTAAGTTTAAAGAACGGGTCTATGTGTACCTTTGTCGCTGTTATATATATGTTACATACTGTCAGTTATTTGATTATTGTTCTAAATAAGGCAGAAAGCTCTGAATAGGTTGTTAAATGGCGCCACCATTCAGTTATTGCCTGGTCGTGACGTGTATCATGGAGACCGGTCTTGCTGTCTAACAGGCATTGTTTTGAAATATTCCAAAGCTACCAACATCTTCACTTTGCGTATGGTTGGGCTGTATACACATACTTGACCATAGTTCAGTAAGCACAATCGTTTTAACTAAATAAAATTTCCATTTCTTTAATATTGTGTAATTTAAATGTATATAATGATTTTACAATACAGATGTTTATAATGCGTGGGAATACTAGGTCTAATTTATTTATTATACAATCATTTAAAAAATAAAAGGTTAACAAGATTTAAATTATATATAGTGTCATGGATGAGTGCACTCCCTTTCTAGGAAGGGTCTTTCTGCGCGGCAGGTTGAGGTGTTTACGTCTATTTTTTCCCGACGCACGGCCCCAGGCAGGAGTATTACTCCGCAGTGTTTACATCTACGTACCGTGTGAATTTTTGTTATCTTGAATAATTTTGCTCTTAATATGAAGTCTGTGCATTTAAAACCCACTGTATAGTTTAAGGTAATGTTGTATTTCTCCTTAAAAGCTCAAAATTCCCGAGTTCTTGCAAAAGGTGACTAGGAACTACATTACCACGCGGATGGATATATGTGCGCTACTTACTATCACACCAAAACAAACGGCCATCGACTGCACTCGCCAGGCGAGTTTCACTGAGGAAGGTTTGCAGAGCGTGTGCTAACCGGACACAATAACAACCTCAAAATGCCTAGCAAAGAGGAGTTGTGTTTCCTATCAGAAGCCAAGGCAACCACCACACAAGACTTTCTATCCAGAGACATTGATGATTTAGTGTTAGAAATTAAAGAAAACTTGAGATTAAAGTCTCGACCGGCGCACTTAAGTGGTGGAAAGGCACGGACACGAGCGTCACCGTACAGTGTCCCATCCCGGACTGAAAGCAAATGTGGTTGTTGTGACGGTCGACGATGTATCCGACGGGGGATTGCGACCAGAAGAAGTTCTGACGACCCATATGAAGCTCTTCAAGAATTATTGAAGGATGGTGACCTCATCAAAGAAGCAGTACGTAGGCTTCAACTTGGACTGTCGCCTAAACAACGGGTGTATTATGACTCAGACGAACTCAGAACACCGCCTTACCCCTTTGACCATATAGAGGTTTGATCGAGTCTAGTTACTAGTGCTGCCACGTCTCCCCCGCCTTTGGACCATGTAGGTTTGTACCTGCCATCACCAAGTGTTACCAATAACACTAAGTCGCTCATGTGAGTGTGTGTGTGGAATGCCTTGCGCGAGGAGCTGGAGTCTGCTGTGGTTGTGAATCGAGCAAGTTTGTTCTTCACACGTCATTAAACGTCTTCGACGAGCAGCAGCTAAGAAGAGAGCCGAACTGTGATCCTGCAGAACCATGTAGTGGGAGCTGTCTGCTCTCCTGCTTCTGTTGTCTCCTTGGATCACCACCATCCTACAAAGGAATTTAGTACAAAACACCGTGACATGTTTGAATTACTGTGATTCCTGTACGTGTGAGTGTTAAACAACTAATGTCCATCGAATGCATTCTTCATAACGCGAATGTCTCCCGTCCAGAGCACTGAAATACGCATGTCAGCAGTAGAAAGCATAGATGATTTACTAGTGAGGGTATTAGTTCTCCACGGTGAAGAAAGAAGACTCAGGATACAACAACTTGAAGAAGCAGGACGTTCGGAGGACCTGAACAGTTAGGTACCGTAACAACAGACGCCGGCTTTCCTTGAAGCCCAAGTCATGGCCAGAACAAGTGGCTTGTGGTGACCAAATGTACGGGGTTACGGTTGACTTACAACTTTTCTGATCTCACAGTGTGTGCTTGTGTCAATAGACGGATCTGATACTATTTTTTCCCGAATATTAGTACTTTAACTTCTTCATAAACCTTGAAGTTCGTGTGATCAAAACTGTGCGATGTTTGTAGCTCTAGAATAAATAAAGACCTCAACAAATTGTTTGTATCCAATGCCGTGGTGTAAGAAGGTGTTATTTTGATTTACATTCATACGAATGTGCATTTAATAGGGCCAATCAAGAATAAATTATATTTTAAATCCTAAAAGGCGTTGACATTCTAAATTATTAAATTAATTTCATTTGGAAACATTTCTATTTATTATGGATTGATGTCACGAGTGCAAAATTTTGAGTATACAAAGTTCCACTGCTAGTACAAATATCCCCACTTTAATGTTTTGGAGCTCAGGTTTTCAGTTAATGCTTCTTTTAAGTTAACTTTTTACATCATAGTGTAATGGTGGTGGTACAAAATCATGCCACCGAAATACCTAACTGATTATTGCTCACATTGTTCTCCCATCACAATATTGTTCGAGGCACTTCCTATACATTGTTATATGCATTTGTGTAGGGTATGCAGCTGGCGGTAATCGTTGGTAATAATTGATAGTGGAATCTTTGTGGGTGGTGTATAGGCCTGCAAAGACGGTAGTCCTGCCTCTCTGCTGCGACTGACATACTTCGCCAAGATCAATAGCTGTAGTCAACTTGCTGTAGGAGCACCACCCACCGCACACATCCATGCTCTTGACGGTGTTAAGGTGGCCTCAGCGTCAGGGAAGCTTATTGTATGGTAATAAATCATTGTATCAATTTTGCAATAGTACTCTTACTTCAGGAACCACATTGTATTATGTCTAAATATCGTTTTTCTCCTTTTTATTTATTGTATTTAAACTTGAGCTCAGATTTTTTGGAACATAGATGTATGTAGCGAAACCCTGTTTGTACAAATATTTTTTTAGTCAATTCCATCGACTATTGGGAGTATTGTGAATGAATGTAACGACGGAAGTTATTGTTGGTCTGAATGATCTTCCTCAATGTTATAGATACATGTGTAGTCACTTAATATTCTGTTATCCTGAATTAAATGTGATATGTATTTATTAAGTCACTTTTTTTTAAATATGTTTACCTAGTGTACATAGGCACTGTTAAAACGCTTAAGTCATTGTACATAACTCACATCTAGATCATTGTCTAAAGTGCATGTTTTAGTGCATTTAAACAACATAGTTTCTGTAAACGAAAAAGACACTGATGTGTATTTGTAATAAACAGACGAAAATATTTATTGATTTTGATGTACCCTTTGAAGATTCAGTGGGAAATACACGCCTTACCTCGCCCCTTCAAATAAGGGTATTTCTGTGAGCGTTATACTGTAATTAGCAGATTTCATGTCTGACTTTGTTAGGATTTAAGCCCCTCAAGAGAGGTGCCTAGATGCCGGTGAGGGGCTTTGATCTAAGGAATTTGGATTTTCCCATTCTCCAGGCACTATACCCCTCATGGAAGGTTCCTTGACGTTGGTGAGGGGCTCTTGATTTAGGGAATTGAATCTGTGCTCCAGTTCCCCGAATTAAGCCTGAATGCCTTCCACATCCCCCCCTGGGCGCTGTATAATCCTACGGGTTTAGCGCTTCCCCCTTGATTATAATAATCCAGGCACTATATGACCCCTATGGGTTTAGCGCTTCCCCTGATTTAAAATTATTTGACCCTGATTGAGAAGGATTTGAAAAAGCAAGAAATAATATATATATATGTATATATATAATATAGTATATGTATATATATATATATATATATATATATATATATATATATATATATATATACACACACTTTGATCTAAACAAATCCCTCAACGAGGGGCTATTGATCAAAGGAATTCAACCTGACCTCCCTTGGATCGATCCTGATTACCTCTCATTCTCCCAGGTGCGGTATAACCCCTACAGATTAGCGCTCCCTCGTGAATACAATATAGTTGTGCAATATTTTTATAAGTGCTAATTTCTATATCAAACTATTAACTAAGTAACTGTAAAAGTATCAGGCATGCTTTATTAACTACAGAGGAACGTAAATAAATGTGGCCATCCTCCTCTCCCTTCACTGTTGCATCTCAAGCTGGTGAACTGATTCAGTTAACTGATATGAGACGCTGTTGGCCAAGAGGTCCAGCTACCAAGAGCCAAGCATCTTTGCAACTTGCATAACTTAATTAAAATTTATGTAACGTTCTATATCTTGCCTAATCAAACAAGCTGTTGGTGCTTGTATCTGTTAGGCTTGAGTCAACAGAAAAAGCCAGGCCCCCAGACAGACTAGAAGTTTGTAAACTCTTAAATCACCCACAGGTATATTGAGTTTGCTAGTGTCATAAGGCCGATGATCGCCTCTTCAAATGTGCACAATCTATATAGTAATTATATACCTCTTTGTGTAAACACATTCTTATTAATAAATTTAGTGTAACCACATTGCGGCTACCCTGAGCTGACATTCTACAAGGTTAACAAGAACTGCCTAACACACTTAATTACGCAGAGTAGTTTTCATGTCATAATCTATCATATAAGATGGACTTGCAAAAATAAATTCTAGCCTGAGTTGCTAGATTTCACCAGGGTGGTGAGGGTATCACCAAGCATTTGGTGCTGCTCGTAGTCTGTCTTATGTAAGTACCAACACTAGGCTGATAAGTATTCAATACGAACGCTTGTCAATACTGGACATGATGTTAATTCTCAGAGTAAGTTTCTTGGCCTTAATACCAACTGCATGTGGCTATTAAAACTGCAATTAGTCTATTGGATCACATAATATGATGACTCGCAGCTGGAGCTTTTGATTATCTGACCGAGGCCTTCTGCTGGATTACCCTTCCACCCTTTTAAAAATTATGGAATTAGATTCACATGACTAGTAGACTTCAATGGATCGAAGTAGCTATCATCTCAATGAAGTTCTGACAAACAATATGAAGAGGATTCTCAATACGACACAGTGCCGTAAAAATACGGCACTAAAGTATTAAATTAAGATAGAACTCGCAACATTGGATTACGGTTGATAAAATGAAAGGGCACAGATGCGCTAAAGAACACATGGGAAAAAGATGACACCGTTAAGCTCCTTTAATCTCTAATCATGTTGTCTCATGGGAGATTAATGAAAAACAAAGAAGCTGCACATGGTGTGCCACATGGATCAGCACTGGGACTTTTGTTGTTCACAATCTTACATAAACGATATAGATGAAGGAATAAATAGCAACATAAGTCTGCGGATGACACTAAAATAGATCAAATAATTTCTGATGAGGATGCTAGAAAGCCACAGGAAGACCTGGATAGGTTGGTAAGTGTAGTTGGAGAAGTGACAGATTCAGCGTAATGCTACAAATACATTAGTTACCCTCCTAGGAAAAGAAAAACCTATGGTACTGACAGACCAAATATTGCAAAGAATGTAACTTATTTCCATAGCTGGCCATTTCTCTGTCTCATGAACATCTAAGACAGCAGATAAATCTAACAAATATCTTCTTTTATTCATTATACACTCGTCTTTACTATTTTTTAACAGCTCTTATCCTAGGAGTAATATTTTTTTCATTTAGGAGGCCTGGTCTGAAATTGGTCTGTGGGGGGGGGGGGGTGATTCCAAGGTTAGACATGTATATGAGAGGATGTAAGACCTGCCTGGTCTTACAGTATCAAATCAAATCAAATCAAATCAAATCAAATCAAAGTTTATTCTCTATAAGGATTACAATGCGGGGTTTACAGATTTTGGTTATTGGGTGGTTTACATGTAATAAAATACTAATTACAGAGGGGGCCACTAGAACACCTACCACGGCGAACTTTTTCTCTCTCTCATGCTCAACCTCTGAGAGCTGGGGATGCCCGAAATGCATATGCATACTAGTGGCTTTCCATGTGCTTAACAAAGAAATTAAATATGTTTATGCTCAACCTGATGCTGGAGCACTTGTTTACATCTGACACTGTAGGCTCAAGCACTAAGGTAAACAAAACACAACTGGTTGCAGTCTCGCTCAACGAGTCTACATCAAACCTAAAGAAATCTCCATTTGTCGCGCTCAAGGGGTAGAAAAATCAAGGGTTCCTGAGCCAAGGAAATTGGATGTATCCATGTGTTTCCTTGGATCAAACCTGATACCCACCTTTCCCCAGGCGTTACATAACCCCAGAGGGTTTAGCGCAAGGATTCCAGTGGGGGATTAACCTAAGTAATTTATACATAGGTTACTTTATAAGACAATTATAACCATCTAAAGATGTGTAAAATTTTACCTAAATAAACTTACGACTGGGCCGACAACAAATAAATCTTTTATTAATACATCGTTTCTCCACTTGAAATACACATGTAATACTAGTTTACATGTATATTTCAAGTAATACTAGTTTACTCGTACACCCAATAAAACCAAC